TTTTGGAAATTGTGCACAGGTTCAATATGAAAAAACTAATTTCTGGATTTTGAGTTATTGATGGACAGGCATATCTACCGTTCCCCTTATGTCTGGATAAAATTGGACATACCGTTAGATTGGTGCCAAAAAACAATAGTTGCAAAAAATTTTATTTTGTTCCAGCACAATTCTACGATTTTTAAAGCTAAATAAACGAGTAAACACCCTTTTGTCAAACACTTTATAAAATCTGTCTACAGTTTTAAAAGATTAATAAGCGACATTCATTAATTTTATAAATGACTTGATTATTTTCTATTTAGTAATTAAATCAATTTTCCAAAATATAAATAACAAAGTTAACCAATTTAAAATAATTAAATATTATTGATTTTTCAAGTACTATCCAATTATTAAAAAATAAATTAATTTAGTTATTTTAAAACAATAATTAAAATATTATTACAGTTTTGTAAACAATAAATCATCTAATTAAGTCCAATTTATTTATTTATTATAAAATAACCAGGCGTGCACCCGCCAACTATAACCTACGCTATGGCACACTTAATTTGCAAACAGTGGCCGTGCCTGTAGTGGACAGACATGATTGTGTCAACCAGTATAATGCACATAAGATTAACACCGAAAATATGATTTGTACAGGGTTACATGTAAATAGTGATGATATTTGTCATGTAACTAATTTATAACTATAAATGAAAATATAATAATTTAAGATAAAAATAATGTATGCACTATCTAAAAATACCGATCTAAAAATGTGTATTGCACTTTTTCTTAAGAATAATTGAAATTTATTTAAACACTTAAAGTCAGCAAACATAAACTTCAACTAGGTCTATATCCCAGATGTTAATTCTCAGTGTAATAACAATTTACTCTCGGAAACGTAACAATATGAGTATGGTCTATTATGTTGCATATTTTTAAGGCACAAAAACTAAAATTTTTAAACATTTATAAAACATATTTAATATTTAAAATAATTAATTTAGAGAAATATTTATTATTATTTTTAAAAGGTCATTTTAAAATTAGGAATTGCTTATAACCAACAATATTATTAAATTGATTTTATCAGCTCGATCAAACAAGATTTCCTATTTATTTACCTAATCTTATTTTGTAGATAATACATACACTTATTATAAAAACAGTGCCTGCACATAATCCCAAATTAATTTAATAATTTAATTATAAACATGAAAATATTTATATTGACTTTAGCTTGTTTAATTTTTTATACAGGGTGGTGTTCAGGTCTACCACATAACCATCAACATCATAATCATACTAAAATTTCAAATGTCACTGTTTATAAAATTAAAACACCTAATATTGTAGGAGGTAGAGATGCTCAACCAGGTGAAAACCCCCACATGTGCTCGCTACAATATCAAGGGAATCACGTTTGTGGTGCATCTATAATTAGTAGCCAGTACGCGGTAACAGCCGCCCATTGTGTCAGCGGGTAAGTTTATACATGGTAATTAAATTTATAAATACATAAATATTTAGTGACTTTTAAGGGAAACAATAAATTAGCTAAATTATATTATTATTCACATTTATAAAAAAATCTTGTCATAAGATATGCTTGGAAATAATATAAATATTTATATTACAACTTAAATATTAAAGAAGTTCTTTATTTCACCATGATTATTTTAATTAATTATTTCACATATTTTCCCCATTATATAAAAATCTATTTACAGTTTTAAAAAATAATATACTACATTCATTAGGTTTATAAATGACTATTAACTTCGATTTAGTTATTAAATCAGTTTTACAAAATATAAATATCAACTTTAAGTAATAAGATAATAATTAATACATTATTACAGTTTTGTAAAAATAAATTAGTAATCTTAAATTTATATTATAAAATAACTAGGCGCGCACCCGCCAATTACAAACTTCGTTGTGGTACATTAAAACACGCTGAGCCGGGTACTGATTTTGAAATTTCCGATAACATAGTCCACCCGGAATACAATTACGGTGCTCAAAATAACAACGATATCGCCCTGATCAAAGTTACTACCGAGATACCACTTGGAACAAGTATCATTGATAAAATAGCCCTACCTGACCAGGATTCAGACATGGAGCCTGGTGCAATGATTACTGTCACGGGTTGGGGTTACCTCATAGATGTCAGTGGCGTAGACTCGGATACTTTACAGACAGTGGACGTACCGGTAGTTTATAGGGCTGACTGCGCTCATGATTACTCAATGTATGATATCACGGAAAATATGTCGTGTGCCGGGTATGACCAGGGTGGTATGGATGCTTGTACGGTAAGTGTGCTAGATGCTATTATGTAAATTATATTGTTTGATATTTAATATTATTAATTTATTTGTTAGGATGATTCAGGTGGCCCGGCTAAATACAATGGGGTATTAGTGGGTATTGTATCATGGGGACTGGACTGTGCTAAACCACACCAACCTGGTGTGTATACCAGGGTTGGAAAGTATCGTAATTGGATTAGGGATAATACTGGAATTTAAAAATTATAATTAAATGTCAATTATTTTTAAAAATTAAACTTAATGTAATGTTATAATAAAATATATTTTAAAGTTATTTTTAAATTATTTATTTTGAACTTGTAAATACTGTATTAAAATACAAAATATATATTTAAGTAAATTCTGTTCTAGGAAAAGTTAATATTGGAATTAAACGGGACTGTCTTAATCGCCAAACCCGCCAAAGCCGCCAAAGCCGCTAAAGCCGCCAAAG